GGGACTTCTCGTCCCAGTCATGGCCCCCGGCCTTCCCAATTGGGGAGGGGGGGGCGAAGTCATCCCGTGGCCACAGAATACATTTGTTTATTATGGATTCAATGCAACTTTGAAATTGTGCGATCCAGAGCACCCTCCAGAGAGCCTGTCTGCTTCAGAGGCTTCTATATATCTTCAGGCCAAGATCAGTGCAGCAAACATTAGTGGCTTCTTTGACCATAGGAGGAAGTCCAAAAATTGGAAAGAAGAGATTAATATATCTGTGGTATGCATGGGAGAGAATTTATACTTCTTTAGTGCAAAACACGTTTTATATTCCAGGTTGATCAGATATTTTAAAAATCATTAATCAACTAAATTGACATCTACTGCACAATATAACTTGATTTGGTAGCATTTGGTCCTCTTGAAGCTTGGAAAAGTGATCTGAGAACACAACCTATAAACTATCTCTACAGACCCACTAAGAAAATCTAACAAATGCTACGTTCAGCAAAGGACAGGAGGGATCCTCTCACCTCTGCAGGAGTCTACCAGATACCATGCAGCAGTGGACAAGTCTACATAGGGACCCCCAAAAGCAGCTTTGCCCAAACACAAATCAAGGAATATGAAAGGCACTGCAGATAAATTTATTTATTTATTTATTTACAGTATTTCTATACCGCTTTTCTCACTCCTAAGGGGACTTAAAGCGGTTTACACATAACTGGAAAAACTTCAATGCCATACATTGGACACTGACACAATGCCAATCCATAACAACCACAATAATAAAACGACAGTTAAGCATAAATCATAATTAGACAGTTCATAAGCAATAATTAAAACAATAAATAATAAAAACAGTCTCGCCAGTCATATTGTCTGCCGTAAATTTACCTGAGAAGTCAACCATAGCAGAGCACCTGATGAACCAACTTGGACACAGCATATTATTTGAGAACACAAAAATGCTGACAACTACCATGTCAGACTACACACAGAAGCTATTGAATCCACAAGCATGTGGACAATTTCAACAGAAAGGAGGAAACAATGAAAATGAACAAAATCTGGCAACCAGTATTTTAAAAAACTCTAAAATCAGGAGAGTAAATAAAGAGCACCACTCAAAAAGCAGGGGAATTCCAGACACGAATCAATCAGGGGCAGCTAACACCTCCCAATAAAAGGAACGTGTTTACTGTCCAACCAAATCAATTAATTTATTGCACAAGACCAGAAAGGTACAAGTTGTCCTGAATAGTACCCTCAAAGCAGACAGGAAGCAAAAGATAGGAAACAAAGGCCATCATCATGTTCACACAAAGAGCAAAACAAATGTGAATAATAGATACATGGGGGGGGGGGGGAGTGTTCGGGTCAAATTAGCTGTAACCCCAATGATCAATTATCAATAGACCAATGTGTGGAGCTTAATGGGAACATGTGATAAACAAAGAAGACAACAGCATTTTTCCTCTTTTTCCTCTATTCTTTCCTTCTCTCCCCATCAACACATCAATTACAACCATGACAGTAGTAAAAACAATAACGGAAGCCATCAATTTGTTTTCTCCCATCAATGAAAAGACATGCTTAGACACAATTTTGTTTGATAAATACAAGGCAAACATACATTATCACGTGTAATTTCAATTTATCAGTCTTGTGTGATAAAAGTCCTGAATCTGGTTTAAAGATCAAAACCACAAAAATGGAGCATGAGCAAGGATTTCTTCTTGACCAATAGTAGCACCTAAATGGGAAAGTTAGCCATAAACAAATCGCCCAAACACAGTCTTTCCCCTTATAGATGAGATCTATTAAGTTTCTATATAAACCAAGGTAGGTAATTCTATATTTGCATCTACACGTCAGAAGTTCTGTTTAAGATCTGACTCACAGTGCTTCCAGACAGCCCTAAATCATGGCTTTTAAATGGGGGCAAAAGATCCCGAGACTTCAGAAGAGGTCCACATACAGACCAGTTGGTCCCGGGATTTCTGTCTCCATTGTCCAGACTTGATGCTTTATTATGAGAGGCTTCCATAGGACTTTTACCAGAAACTTCAGTATTTTTTTTTTAAAAAAAACCCTCAAGATGCGGATATGCAGAGAATCACAGCAGGAAATAACTGCAAAAGTTCTGTCCTTTGTCCTGGCCAGAGAAACTGTGCCCTCCAGACGTTTCATGAAGTATCTGCCACACAAACAAAGTTTTTGCCTTCTACTCAAGTGTCTCCTTTTTAGGAACTGATCAATCAGAAACAAACATCTAAAACCTGGGAACAAACCCATAAAAAATCCTGGAAATTCCGATTACAGGTACATACAGACATGAGAAGATCTGCATATTCGGCTCAAAACCACGATACTCCTGCATCTGGAAATCACGCGTTTTTTGCCTTTTGTAGTGATTCCTTCGGTGTTTACAGGGAACCACATCTGGCCGCCCTCCTGTTTGCTGTGGAAGCTCCTGGGATAAAGGTACTGTGTGGACGGGCTCTCATAATCGTCTTCCCAGGATCATGTTAGCTAAGTTTGGAGTAAGTTTTTAATTACTAGAAACCTTGTACTTTTATTGGCCAGTGTCAATAAATTTGGCATTTGAAGGAAAACAATGTAATTTTGCCAATATTTTATCATTTGCAAAGTGAGCAGTATATTCTTTTCAAAACAAAAAGGTTGCTTTTTAATTCTAGGAAGCCTGGAGTTCCTGCTCAAGTTTCTTTTTCCTTCTTCCATAGCTGAGGAAGAAATCCATTTTAACCAATGTTTTACCAAGATCAGTATTCATTCTGCTGCCAACCATATGGCTGGTGGTGTTAGGAATTTTGTCTGAAAATACTGACACATATTCAGGGAGTGGTTCAGGCTCCTTTTTCCTGCCCTGGAAAAAAAGAGAAATGACAAGTTATCCAAATATCTAGCTCTAGAACTAATTGGGGTGGGGGGTGGAAATTATGATCCCTTCTACACTGCTATATAATCAAGAAAATAATCCATATTATCTGCTTTGAACTAGATTATATAAGTCTACACAGCCATATAATCCAGTTCAAAGCAGATAATCTGGATTTTATATGGCAGTATTCCTAGAATGTTTCAGTCAACATGGCTAGTAACATTCTCAAACCCTGAGGAATTCAACAGGATTTCGTATTTAGCAGTGACCAGATGGAGGCAACTACACTGTAGAGTGGGTTTTGTGGTTTGATGAGGCACAGCATTCTTTGGCCTCAGCATTAAATCTCTGCAATTAAAGTCGTGTCAAACTGCATTCATTCAACAGTGTAGATGAACCCTTAGAAATTCACACAAATGGTGGCAATTATGTGCTGTTGTTTGCTTCAGGCAACTAGCAATTAGGAAAACAGTATCTTTAAATAATCAAATAGAACAGTGATTCCCAAAGTGGGTGTTACCACCTGCTGTTGGGCACTGCAGCGATCGGGGTGGGGTGGTAATGGCCACAGGTGCATTTGGGGCAATGAATAACTGTAAGGTGATGGTGAAAGCATAAAAGAAAGAAGAGAAGATCTAGAAAAATTGATTTCCAGGGGGTAGGCCAAATATATGTATATATATTATGAGATATCTTGGAAATGGGATTAAATAGAAAATTATTGATGTTTCATGTGCACCTGACACACATAGCTTGAAGGTATACACAATATTTGAATAATTCTGTGCATGAAACAAAGTTTGTGTACATAGAATTATCAGAAAATAAAAGTGTCCCTGTCTCAGCCACTTCGTTGGACAATTTCAGATTTTGGAGTGTTTTGGAATTCCAGATTGGAGATGTTCAATCAGTGTTTTCTAACAAGCAAATCTATAACTTACCATTGGATCATAATCCTTTAGAAAACTCCAGTTCTGATACCTTCAGGATAAAAAAAGCATCTTAAGTTGGTATGAAACATGCAGAAATTAAAGTGGCCTTTAAAGTATCCAAAACAAATAAATACCTATTTTTAAAGTCAACTTCTGCTGTCATTACCATACACCACAGAATGAGCAACGGAGACTACAAATACTGTTTACCCTTATTTGAGAGTAAGTCCCACTGAATGCAATGTAGAAATGCCTTGGTGACCCAGCAGGTGTGGAAATAATTCACACCCACAAATGATTTTCCATCTAATTTGATAGAGAGTGCAGTTCTTCATGAATGTAGAGAGTCTCCTGCAGATGAAGGCTATATGCCTGGCATAGGTGCTCTCACATCATAACTGGGAAGGGAGTATAGCGCAGGGCATTTGCCATCAATGTGTTTAATAGTGACAAAAGACACTGAAGTATTTTCCAGGAGCACACTTGTTTCCAGAGGTCACAGCAAGACTTCACTATTGCCCTGCAAGAATCAAGACTATGTTCTGCACCGAGAGCATAGTGTCTAGATCTAGGGAAGTAATGCTACCCCTCTATTCCACTTTGGTTAGACCACACCTGGAATATTGTGTCCAATTCTGGGCACCACAATTCAAGAGAGATATTGACAACCTGGAATGTGTCCAGAGGAGGGCGACTAAAATGATCAAGGGTCTGGAGAACAAGCCCTATGAGGAGCGGCTTAAGGAGCTGGGCATGTTTAGCCTGAAGAAGAGAAGGCTGAGAGGAGACATGATAGCCATGTATAAATAGGTGAGAGGAAGTCAGCAAGCTTGTTTTCTGCTGCCCTGGAGACTAGGACGTGGAACAATGGCTTCAAACTACAAGAGAGGAGATTCCATCTGAACATGAGGAAGAACTTCCTGACTGTGAGAGCCGTTCAGCAGTGGAACTCTCTGCCCCGGAGTGTGGTGGAGGCTCCTTCTTTGGAAGCTTTTAAACAGAGGCTGGATGGCCACCTGTCAGGGGTGATTTGAATGCAATATTCCTGCTTCTTGGCAGGGGGTTGGACTGGATGGCCCATGAGGTCTCTTCCAACTCTTTGATTCTATGATTCTATGATTCTATCATGTTTCCAACATCTGCTGACCAAAGCCAGGTACAAAACAATGGTCGATGTGGTAGCTGGGAGAGGAATCAGAAGTTGGTAGAGTAATTTACTTACTACAACCCATAAGCCATATGCTAGATATAATTTAATTAAGTTTAGACTGTATGCTATAATTTGGTCTATATGTGAGTTTAATTTGGCACATGTGGGTTTGTCCATGCTGGTTCCTGCATAGCCGGTATTGTTTTGTATTTATTGTTGTATCAGACATTGAATGTTTTGCCTTTTGTCATTGGAATCCACCCTGACTCCCCTTGGGGAGATAGGATGGAATATAAATAAAGTATTATTATTATTATTATTATTATTATTATTATTATTATTATTATTATTATTATTTTACTGACACAAAACCACAGCATGTCACAGCAAATGAGATCTATATGCTGGATTTCGTATCACAAAATCACAAGTCAAATACTTCCCAAGTGTCTAGGACTGTGTGAAGTATTTTCGAATGATGTGTGCAGATCCAAGTAAGGTGGCCTTTTGCAGTTGACAGATCGCGATTTTCTCAATGTTTATTGTTTCCAAATGCCAGCTGAGGTCTTTTGGCACAGCACCCAGTGTGCCGATCACCACTGGGACCACCTATACTGGTTTATGCCAGAGCCGCCTTATTATTATTATTATTATTATTATTATTATTATTATTATTATTATTATTACATGAGCTGACTGGCACTTGAAGTATGCATTTACAATAATACAACAATGTTTTGCACAGCCTAATCTGATATACAGTATGACCTCCATAATATGATATATAATATGATCTCACAGTATTCTCAGTATTCTCAATTTCCTTTATGCACATCTGACAAAATATGTCATCTCTAGACATTTTCTGTTTCCTCTGTGATCTTGGGCTGGTGGTCCTTCATTTCAATTCGATTCACCATTATTCATTGTCTCATACATATCCACACAAAGTCTGGGAATGTATTCCCTGTTGATACAGAGGTTTTATTGTATGGACAGGGAGATGATTTTTTGTTGTTGTTGGATAAGTGGGAATCCGAAATCACTGTTAATCTGCAAATGATCCCCTGGCACACATTTCAGATCTATCTTCTGTCTCGATCTGTGTAAGATCATTGCCCCCTTCTACATGTAGATAGTGTTAACATAGGAACAAAATAACATAAGAGGAATGTCTATGAATTAAGACGACAAATAGATGTAGATTACCACGGCACATGTGTGACTAAATCAGTTATTGAAATACTCTTGTGCTAAAATGCAGAATTTAAAATTAGTGCTGAATTACTCACCAATATTTGGTTGTCCTTCTTTCAGCCTCCACAAATTCTCTCCAAACCTTGTCTTGTCGAACCTGATCCAAAGGACCTTTCTCTTCTCCCTGGCTTTTGCTGGATGGTTTTCCCAAGCTCTGTGTGGTGGCAAGAAGAGTCTTTCCAGACTGGTTGCTGTTCAGTGAAGGAGATGAAGATGACGTTAAAACCCTCCCAGGGCTGGTAGCTGGAGATCGGTAGCCTGCTGATGTACTTCTCCTGAGTCCATTTGTTCTACTCCCCATCTTCTATGTGTTTTCTCCACTATTAGGAGCTAGCAAGACTAAAAATTCACAGTGGTCTTGCCCAACATTTTCTCTAAGGTTGCTGATTACATACAGAAATCTTGTCCAAGAAATATAAAGAAAGCCCCAGTGTCCAATAAGCAATATTTCTACCAACCACGTGATAAGATCTAGCAATTTCTTGCATAAATTTGGATCACATGCAAAATTGGTTAGCCCAACATTATTTTGTTAGGTGAATGAGTTTGTACAATGCATGGAGGTAAGTTATAGGGTAGTAAATTGAATATGTGTCTATTTAAGCCAGAAAGTTATTTTGAAAGGCTTAAGTTATCAGTTTTTTTGTTGTGTTTTGCACTTCTGTCTCTGAAAGACATGCTACAAAGATGTGTGCTTTCTAATGACAACATCGCTATAGGAGTTCCCAGACTACCCACTGCAAGTGTAACAAGAGTCTGTTGTTGTAGGTAGTACTACAGCCGGCGTTCCTTCTGCTTGGAGAGCTGAAACAAAACACTCAATAGAGTTCAGGCTTTCCTGGTGTGTGTTTACTGTCTCCAATGGAAACCAGACAGGCTTTGTCATGAATATTCATCACAGACAGAAGGCAGGATGTACCCAGGAAACACAGCTGCTGGAGACTAGGCTTTGAGTGTGTTGGGGTTTTTAAAAAATAGATGTTATTTTTGTTGGGTGAATGCACATAGTTTCCAACTTATGGAGACCCTAAGGCTAACATATCACAAGGTTTCTTGGTAAAATTTATCTGAAGGAGTTTGTCTTTGCTTCCCTCTGAAGTTGAGTGTGAATTAGTCAAGGTCATCTATGGGCTTCCATGACCCTGTGGAGATTTGAACTATTTATTTACCCTATCAAGAGCGAACCAAGAGTACCGTTGTAATGTATTTTAAAAAAAAACACAGAGTTTTTAAAAAACTTAGCATTATATTAAATATCCTTTGACCAGTAGCCGGCCACTTGGAGTGCCTCTGGTGTTGCTATAAGAAGGTCCTCCATCGTGCATGTGGCAGGACTCAGACTGCATTGTAATAGGTGGTCTCACATGTGGTCTCACATGTCATGGATTCCACTTTGTGCCCCCATTTCTTAAGGTTGGTTCCGCATCTCGTGGTGCCAGAGCACAGTCTGTTCAGAGCCTTCCAAGTCGCCCAGTCTTCTGCGTGCTCAGGAGGGCTTTCCCATTTGGTATTAGCCATGGATTGAGGTGCTGGGTTTTAGCCTGCCACTTTTGGGTCCTCGCTTGCTGAAGTATTCCTGTGAGTATCTCTGTAGATCTTAGAAAGCTATTTCTTGATTTAAGGTGTTGGTGTGCTGGCTGACATCTGAACAGGAGATGGGCCAGAGATGTCACTGCTTTGGTCCTTTCATTATTGGCTGCTACTTCCTAATGGATGTCAGGTGGTGCAGTGGCTTCAGTCCTTCCTGGAGGGTCGGTCTCAGAAGGTGTTACTGGGTGACACCTATTCAACTCCACAACCGTTGTCTTGTGGAGTCCCCCGGGATTCAGTTCTGTCCCCGATGTTATTTAACATCGACATGAAACCGCTGGGGGGAGATCATCCAGAGTTTCAGAGTAAGGTGTTATCTGTACGCAGATGATGTCTAAATCTGTCTCTCCTTCCCACCTGTTAATAAGGAGGCTGTCCAGACCTTGAACCGGTGCTTGGCCGCTGTGTTGGACTGGATGAGGGCTAACAAATTGAAATTGAATCCAGACAAGACAGAGGTCCTCCTGGTCAGTTGAAAGGCTGAACAGGGCATTGGGTTACAGCCTGTGTTGGATGGGGTTACACTTCCCCTGAAGACGCAGGTTCGCAGCTTGAGAGTGATCCTGGATTCATCATTGAGCCTGGAGCCCCAAGTATCAGCAATAGCCAGGGGAGCATTCGCACAGTTAAAACCTTGGAAAGTCTAATCTGGTCACCGTGGTCCATGCCCTTGTTGCATCCTGAACAGATTACTGCAACACACTCTATGTGGGGTTGCCTTTAAAGACTGTTTGGAAAGTCCAACTAGTCCAATAGACGGCAGCCAGATTACTAACTGGAGCGACATACAAGGAGCATACCATTAGTTTTGTATTCTGCTGTTTATAATATGTTCTTTTTAAGGCTCAAATAGGAGCCCCTGGTGGCGCAGTGGGTTAAACCCCTGTGCCGGCAGGACTGAAGACCGAGAGGTCGCAGGTTCGAATCCGGGGAGAGACGGATGAGTTCCCTCTATCAGCTCCAGCTCCTCATACGGGGACATGAGAGAAGCCTCCCACAAGGATGATAAAACATCAAATCATCCGGGCGTCCCCTGGGCAATGTCCTTGCAGACCGCCAATTCTCTCACACCAGAAGTGACTTGCAGTTTCTCAGGTTGCTCCTGGCATGACCAAAAACAACTTTACTAAATTTATTGACCAGTTTTTGCCAAAGGCATTAAAACAAAGCAGGTCAAAAATTTATTGGATCTCATCTATGATGATTTTTTAAAAAGTATAATTATGTTCCATAAAGTGGAAAGGGGTAAGAAACAAGAAGACAACATTACTGATAGATAGATTGATTCAATCAATCAATCAATCAAGGAAGCCACATCCCTGAATTTGCAAGACCTGAGCAAGTGACAGGATGTCTTAAATGTCTCTCACTCATAGTGTCACCATAATTTGAAGTCAAGTTGATGCCAAATAATGACAACAAAATTGTATTTAAGTTTGTAAGAAAGAGAACATATTACATGTGTCTAATACATAAAATGGTGCATGTGCAGTGATGAATGGTAGAATCGGAAAATTACTTTAAATAAACAGTTAAAAACTTTTCACTTAATACATCGAATTAACATATAAAATGGAAACACTCGTAGTTTACTGTACACACTCAGTTTCTCAGAAGATCATTAAAAAAACACCTAAGCAAAATGGAAATATCGGTATATGTTGGGTTTTTTATTTACATGCAAAGCAGATCTCAGCCACAAGGGGGTACTGTAAGGCAAAGTATGCATTTCAAAGATACAGGCAGTCCCCAAGTTAAGAACAAGAAAGGTTCTGTAGGCTTCTCCTTAAGTTGTATTTGTATGTAAGTTGGAACAGGTACCTTTTTAAGTGTAACTCCAGCCAAATATATATGTCTTTTAGCTCTGGATAGCTTAAGGAAGGGTTAGCACCCCTATGGTGTTTGTTTTGCTGTCTGTTCTCTTCTTCAGAGGATTTCGCCTCACTTTCTGTCCCTGTGAGAATTGGATTTTGAAAAATTTGGCTTGTTGTGGAAACAATTATTGATGCTAAAGCTTCAATGAAGAAACCTTTCCCCCCATAATAAGTCCTTCAGGAGTGAATTTCCCTTCCAAGGGTAGATTTTTCTCTTTTTGTTGTCTCACCCCCATTCCCATCCTAAATATCTTGGTGTCACCTTAGTTGGAACACTAACGTTTAAGACACATTGTGAGAACACAAAGTAGCTGCACGCAATAACATCCTGCGGAAACTCACTGATAGCGCATGAGGTGCAGACCCAAAATTAATGAGAACATCAGGCCTGGCCTTGTCTTACTCAGTTGCTAAGTATGCCTGCCCCGTCTGGTATAAATGTGCCCATGCAAAACAAGTGAATATAGCACTGAATGAATCATAGAATCGTAGAGTTGGAAGAGACCTCATGGGCCATCCAGTCCAACCCCCTGCAAAGAAGAAGGAAAATTGTCATCCAGCCTCTGTTTAAAAGCCTCCAAAGAAGGAGCCTCCACCACACTCCAGGGCAAAGAGTTCCACTGCTGAACACCTCTCACAGTCAGGAAGTTCTTCCTAATATTCAGATGGAATCTCCTCTCTTGTAGTTTGAAGCCATTGTTTTGCGTCCTAGTCTCCAGGGAAGCAGAAAACGCGCCTGCTCCCTCCTCCGTATGACTTCCCCTCACATATTTATACATGGCTCTCGTGTCTCCTCTCAGCCTTCTCTTCTGCAGGGTAAACATGCCCAGCTCCTTAAGCCGCTCCTCATAGGGCTTGTTCTCCAGACCCTTGATCATTTTAGTTGCCCTCCTCTGGACACATTCCACCTTGTCAATATCTCTCTTCAGTTGTGGTGCCCAGAACTGGACACTGTATTCTAGGTGTGGTCTAATCAAGGCAGAATAGAGGGGTAGCATGACTTCCCTGGATCTAGACACTATACTCCTATTGATGCAGATCAAAATCCCATTGGCTTTTTTAGCTGCAGTGTTACATTGTTGGCTCATGTTTAACTTGTCCACAAAAACTCCAAGATCTTTTTCACATGTACTACTCTCAAGCCACGCGTCCCCCATTCTGTATCTTTGCATTTTGTTTTTTCTGCCTAAATGGAGTATCTTGCATTTGTCACTGTTGTATCTTGCATTTGTCACTCTTATTTATTTATTTATTTATTTAGTGTCAAAAGCATTGCATAAATTAGTATAAAACTGATAAAATAGAAGGTGTGCAGGTGGCTAAATATCTTTTGACCAAAAATGGGCAACAGCAACAGCATTGTCTGTAGCCTCCAACAATTCTTCCTCTGTACATTAGGCAGGGAACAATGGACAAGCATACAGATGCAGAGTTGTCTGTTCTGCTCCGCAGTCACACAAGGTGGAGGATTCTTTTAGGTAGCGCCATTTTGCCAGGCTGTCTTTTGATCTGCCCACTCCCCTTCTGAGTCTATTCAGGGACTTCCAGGTTGCCCATTCTTGGTTTGCCCCTGGAGGAAGACCCTAGTGGGGGGTCATCCAGTTGGGATTTCCTGATTTAGCTGCCCAGAGGGATACCCTTGCTGTTTCTAGAGGGACACCAGGAGGAGTGGTAGTTCTCATAAAGCTTTTCCTTGATTTGAGTCTATTGGGAGGAGGCTGGTAGCCATGTAGTGGATGGCTTTCACAGTGTTCAACTTTCTCTCACATTCAGCAGCAACTTCCCATTGCACATCGGGGGGGGGGGGGCAATGCCAGCTAGCTTGTAGTTTATCAACAGGTGTAGGTTTAAGACATCCTGTGATTATTCTGCATGTTTCATTCAATGCTATGTTCACCTACTTTGCATGGGCTGACCTATGCAAAACAGGGCAGGCATACTCAGCAGCATGCCTGTAGCGAGGGGGTGGTTTTAGGGGTTCAAACCCCCCCCGAAATGTTTCAGATTTTTTAAAAAAACCTGGTTTACTCATGAATTTTAACTGGTTAACCAAATCCCCATGCTAAGTCTATGAGATGCAAAAAATTAAGAGTCCCTCCAGAACTGTAAGCACTATCTCAAGCAAATATTGACAATTTATTCACACTGTCATTACTTGCAGCAATAGCCGATGTAGTGAAGCAACCAAGTTGGGGGTGTGTGTTGAATGCT